TGAGCTCCTGTGTCCTCCTGGGAGTGGGAAGGGAGTATTACGCTCTGGAATCAGTCCATGTGGGCTCAAATTCCAAACATGTGGTTTTCTAGCTGTGTGATCTTGGATAAATTCTTTAAAGACTTTGTGCCTTAGTTTCCTGAACTGTAAATGGAGGGAATAAAAACAATACCTTCATTTTAGGGCTGTTTTGAGATTCAATTAAACATATATAAGTGCATATGCCTAGCACATAATGTTAAGTAAATACTGTAATAAATACAAAGAATAGATGAATACTGACTGTTAACAGTACAGGACCAGAAAGTGGAAGACCTTGTGTATATGCTAAATAGTTTCTGCTTTACCTGCCAAGGCTTTTATAACTCCAGAAAAAGTTTAAGTCAGGAAATAATATGATTAGACTTTCATTTTCAACAGGTCCCTGTAACTGCAATACTATGGAGGAATATAAGAATTAACAGGGAGGCCAATTAATGTATTATTACAATAGTTATGGAGAAATATGATGGAAGCCTAATCTAAGGCAGTAGTGGTAGAAAAGGAAAAGTGAGGACAGAAATGACAAAATCTTGGTGCACAGTTGTCTGTGGATGAGTTTGGAATGACTCCCAGAATTGAGGATTGTGGGATGAGTGAAGGCTGGCTCTGTTCCCATGATAGGAAATACAGAAAAAAATGGAGGTTTCCCAATCTAGATACTATTGACATTTTGGCATGAATAAACCCTGTACATAGAGAAAGAGCAGATTTACAGGGGAAGATAATGAGTTCAGTGTTGAATATATTGGATATGTTAACTTTCAGATGCCTCTGTGACATACAGGTGGTGCTATTTAATAAAGAATTAGATGTTAAGAGCATGATTCAGGAGAAAAGTCTGAATTTTCAATATAGATTTGGACACTTAATTTATATACTATAACTAAAGCCATGGGAGACAATGAGTCCACCTATGGGGAGCATATACAATAAGAAATTAAAGCACTGAAAATATAGGCCTGAAAACATACCAGTTCAGGGATGAGCAGAAGAAGATAAACTAGCAAATAGATAATTTCTTTTTTTCTTGTCTTATTGCAATTTTCTAGGACCTCCACTGGAGTGTTTCATAGCCGAGACAGCAAGCATTAGTGTGTTGTTTACAAATATAATAAGAATGCTTCTAAAGGGTTCGCCATTTAGAATGGTACTTCTTGAAAATGTTAGTGGATATAAGACAAAGATTGTTAAAGAGCTTATTTCCAAGGAGATAAAAATTGGACCAAGGATACAGGTAGAGGAATAAGCTTGAACAAATTGGCATACAAAGGCGAATGTACCTCTTTCTCCAAGAACAGAGAAAAGGAAGTGGGAAGGGTTTTGATTGTTTTCTAATAATTACTTCCCTTCCTTTCATATAAAATATATAAAGTATTTAACTTATTTAGACTAACTCTCATAGCTATTATGCCAATAAAATCAGACCAATATTTTGAGCTGTACATTTACAGGTTTAGGGAATAAAGAGGAGTTTATGCCTACTAGTCTCATCTTTTTTTTTTTTTTTTGCTGGTGGGTAATCTGGATATAGACATCTTAATGAATCCAATATGCCCCCCTCAAAGTCTAGCAACCCAAAGTTTTACATGGTAGAGCTGAACAGGATTGACCCCATTTAGGGAAAATGATCTTTATATATGATTTTGCTCCATGATTAAGTTAAATTCTGCTGTTACTAAAGACTGTAGAAACATTTGGAAATTCTCTTCAGGTTGAAACAGAAGAATCCCCTCAGAAAGGGGGTGCCTGGGTGGCTCAGTTGGGTTAAGCATCTGCCTTCATCTCAGGTCATGATCTCAGGGTCCTGGGATCAATCCCCACATCGAGCTCTCTGCTCAGCGGGGAGTCTGTTTCTCCCTCTCACTCTCGCTCTGTGCTCTATCTCTCTCAAATAAATAAATAAATAAAAATCGTAAATGGAAAAAAAAAAGAAACCTCTCAGAAAAATGAAGATGTTGAAATACAAAATCCAGAACAATACAGGTCATGGCTTGACAAACTACAGCTTGCAGGCCCTATCTTTCTGTTTTATCTACAGCCCATAGGAACTTGCACTGGCTAGCACCAGAGTCATGGAGACCAAACCCAGGCATCCACTCTGTGATCCATGCTCCACCCCCACCTCCCTCCCTAGCTGGCAGCTGAGCCTTGCTGCTACCCAAAGTCAGCTCTTATTGCCCCTTGAATGTGAGGGACTTTGCTGTTAGCACTGAGTGATGGACTCTCAGCCCAAGAGTCACCGCACTGCCAGGCCACACCTCTCGAGCCAGTTGTTCTTCCTCTAGCACACAGGTGCAAAGCCTACCCACCACCTGGGACAGCCCACTGAAGGCAAACAGCAGAGATTTTCTCCCTTGTTGTATAAATATCTTCAGTTTTGCTTCTTAACCTTATAGAGCCTAAAACATTCAGTAGCTGGCACAGAAAATGTTTGCCAATCCCTGGAAATTTCTTGGACATTGAGTAAAGGGAGGAGCCAAGAATAAAAATTTCTTCCAAAGAAATTTGCATTCATTTGACTAGCTAGGGAAAAATGTATCTTTTTCTTCCTAGGTAAACTAAATTACCAAAATGTAAACAACACAACTTTGTTACAGTTAGGGTAATTCAGGTCTTCTCATCTGGAACACCCTGACATTTTAGGCCTGGTAAGTCCTGTGCACTGAAGGATATAAGGAGCATTCCTGACCCCTAACTTCTAGAGCAGGTAGCAACCACCTGCCTCTCTCCAACAACCAAAATGTTTCCAGACATTGCCAAATGTCCCCTGGGGTGGGGCCAAAATCACCCCCAAGGTTGAGAACTACTAGAGTAATTAAAAGGTAATCAAATCCCCTAGACCTGGCTCTTCCTATTCTATCATTTTTTTAACTTGGTAAAAATTACTTCATCACTTCTGGGAAATTATTTTAACAGTATTCTTTCCCCAGTAAGCATAAGAATTTTAATCGCTGGGATATCTGTGTCAGAATCTTCTCCCGGTGATGTGTACGGGGAGGGGAAGGATAGTGGGGGACAGGGTGGGAGGCGAAGAGGGCAGCGTGGGAACGCAGAGAGAGGAGGTGAGCACTCCTGCCAATGAAGGTTCTTCCCCCATGGATATGTTAGAAACTCAGACACCAGGAAAAGGGACCGAGCTAGGAACCGAGGAGCTATGAGCCTACAGGAATCCAAAGGTTTGCCAAAGACAAAGAGGCCAGAAGCATGGATTAAAGCAGGAGTGCAGAGCCTGGAAGATGATGGCAAACACACCACATAAATGGAGAAATATCCAAGACAGTTGCTTTGAAAGCCTTCATTGCCTAGGGCTATTATTTGTAGCTGTCATATGGCATCTCCACTGCCTCACCAAGTTGAAAGGGCCAGAGAGGATATTGACATAACTGACCTGATCTCATTGGCACTTCCGTTCACAAAAGAAAATTCTTTATTCCATTATCAATTCGTAAGACGGAGGACATGGCAGTGCACCTGTGTTTAAAGGAAGCCAATCTTTGTTCCTAAAGCTTCAAGTTTCCTGGCTCTCACAAACCAGAAGGCCCACAGCAAGCTAAGAGAGAATATGTGTAGAAAGGGGCTCTAACCCAAGAGGGACTGGATAAAGAACCAGCTGAGAGGGCCAGGGCCTTCCTGCAGCTTTGCTTCCCCACTGCTGGGCCCCCGGAAACCCTTTGTTTAATCTCTCCTCTACTAGATGCAAATTTGTCTTAGTATTCAGAGCCCCCTCTCCCCACCCCAGGAGGCCTCCCCAGACAATTTCTCGCAGGCTCTAACAGCTTCTCCTCCACCACTGTAGGCACACCCTCACCACTCAGGTAATGATGTACCGGATTACACAAGTGCTTCTGAGAGTACATTTTTTTTCCTCTCTGTATTTTTCAGTGCTTTTTTTGTTCGGTCCCTCTTATTTTTATTAGAGTGCCTTGCTCCTACATAATTCCCCACTGTGACTGGGACAGTTGTCTGCAGCGCGGCAGGTACTCAGAAAATGCGGCCCACCTGCATGACCACTCAGACAAGGACTCCCATCCCCGGCATATTAATGACAAGATTTCTTTTGAGATGACATAGTTGTTGTGTTATATCCATGCTGGAGAGTCTTTGAGTCTCTGTTGGTCTCTGCCTCATTATCTCTTTTTCTAAAGGCTTTATCAGTCATACACACACAAGAATTCTAGCCATGTCTTTTCCCCTAGGAACAAGAATACGGACAAGAATAGAAAAATGAGATTCAACTTAGAAAAGTACACAGAATTTTCCCTAAGAGAGTCTAAGAATGGCATGGGGGGGTGGGGATTCAATGAATTGGAGAGGAGTAAATTTAAAAGAAAGAGAGGGAGACAAATAGCAGAACAACAGCACTTCTTTTCATGGTTTGACTTTGAACACCCTGGATCAATTTGTACCTGTCTTAATGAGAGACCACAGTCTTCTTGTCTCCTGATGGCAATGGCTCTTGGTGTGGGCTGTCAGTATGCTACCTCGGTATGTAGGTATAATGAACAGCAATGATCATTCTCACCATTTAACCCTTAAAGTTCCCCCCAGAATAACAGTCTTGGGAAACGCTCCAGAAGAAGTTAATTGGTAGAGCAGTTTGGGAAACACCTTTTCCTAAAGAGGCATTCCACACACTAGCATTGCTTAGCTGTGTTATGTATTGCATGTCCCCACCTTGTTTTTCTTTGACCCTGAAGGCCTTCCATCACATTCCTCACTGTTTCCAGTCCATTTCCATGCTGAAAATCACAGCTTGGCATGGCAGGGTGAGTCCAGAGAAGGAACTGTAGTAGCAACCAGAGGCTGCCATCCAAAATATCTCCCCTCTATTCCTACAATCTTACTGGGAACAAAGGAGCACCAGATGGGCCAGTCTCTCTCCCCCATGGCAGAAAAGCTTTCATTTGCAGACACAGTGAGGAACAGAGAGAATGAAATGCACTTACTTGCTCCCCTGTGACTTTTGGAAGATTCCAGAAAGTAGCCTAAGGCCAGCAGCAGTCCATGTCCAGGACTGATCCAAGCAGGTGGTTGCTGGGATCTGGATGGAGCTTGACAGCCAAAAGGTTGTGTCAAGTCAAAAGAGAATCTTGAAAGAGAAAGTAGGAGAGAGGGACACTGGGTCACTGTCCCTTCTGGTAAAAAACAATGAGTGGAACAAACCTGACCTCCCAAGCCAAGCAACTCACTGAGCTTCCTGTTGGTGCTTTTCGTTCTGTTTGGAATGCTGTGAGTGACAGCTGCAGGATGAAAAAAGAGAAAGACAAGTCATGACACCTGTTCTTTTTCTTCCTCCTATAATATAAGCTTCAAATCATGCAGAAAAGCCAGAAGTTATAGGATGACTCTCTGTACTGTCTGCTGTTAATGAGGCCTCCAGTGACATTTCCCCGCTAGACAGTGAACAGGTAACGATCTCGATTCTGAGAAAGGAGAGGTGGGTCACACCTGGGGGTGCCCCTGATTATTTCCAGCAGCCAACCCCTGCCTTGGGAGAACCCTGGCCCTGGCAGGTATACTAATCATGGCAGGCTGGCTGGGATCAAAGGCCCTGGATTATTGGGGTGTTGGCCATGCCAGCCTACAGGGCTTTCCCCAGAAACTCACATTAGGGACTTGGCGAGTGAGCTGCCTGGCCAGTGAAAGGTGCAGGTTCTCCTGTGAAGCTCTTTAGCTGCCCACAGCAGTGTCCTGGGCATTTGCTGACACTCACTCATGCCATCCATAGGTGCAGTCTGCTTGGCTCCGTCTAGAATCTCACCTGCATGCAAAATAAAACACCCTTGTTACCAAGACTGCTGTGCTTGGTTCCCCAAAGCTGTCCCCAGACAAAAGCCTCTGGGAAGAGTACACTCCGAAAACATTCCTAAGATGGCGGTTTTTGGGGGTGCTTCCCGGGCATGTTGATTTGTGTTGGTAGACAGTATGACCCTTTTGTCCTTCTCACCATCCCACCTTCTTTAGATATCATCTCCAGAGGCTAATACGCGCAGCTCTGCCCCAGCACAAATGGTGCATGTTTGTGTCACCCACGGACCGCTCTCTTGTACACTCCATGTCATGCTGTCCCTTTTTTTTCCTTTTTTTTTTTTTTTGCTCAGTATAGCATTACATTCCGAGCAAATGCTGCTTCCCTGACTATGATTGATCCCCACTTATTTCATCCTGAATGCAAAGTATTTGATTTCAAGAGTGGTTCATTCTGCTCGGTGAACTCATTATGAAGTCAAGCTGAACATCTCACAGATGTGAAGCACCTCGTCTCTGAGGTTCAGCGATCTAATTTGGAATCTCATTATAGACCTTAGACTGGTGGTGGGCACGGGGGCAACTACCTGGCTGGTGTTCTCCTGCCCATCTCCTATCCCATAAAGAAACTGTCATTTCAATATCGGCACGCCAGAATATTCCCCGTTTGGAAAATAGCTTTATTTATCTCCCCAGCAATGCTTCTTGGCACTGATGAGAGAGTAATACTTTGTAGGCTATTTTATTAAGCATCTCGGGAGGTCAGGTGCTGAAAGCGACAGCTCGACAGCTCACAGCTGCTGGCTTCCCTTCTATTTAGGAGGCTTCTCCATGGATTGTATGTTACATTATGTTACATTTTCTAAAGTTCACAGCGTGGTTGTCATTTTGCTAAGAATCTATATACCAAGAATCTTTGCTTGGCACCATAATGTAGTTTAACTCCGGGATGATCTGATTTCTGGTGTCTCTATGGTGAATGAAGGGAGAATGGGGTAGAAGTAGAAAGTTAGCTCTATTTGCAGAGAGATGCATTGATTCTGAAAGATTGATGCATTCGTTTTTTTCGCCTATTTGGTGCTTTCAAAACCAATGAGCATCCAAGGCCCAGTTCTGGCTACTAATGAAGTTTTTATTTCTCCACTTTCTATCTTAAAACTTTGGTAAGGGAGAATATTTGCTTTTCCAATTGCAATCATTTTCATTCCCCTTAGAGCAGGCCTAGCCTTGAAGAGAACTGGAACTGTTTCTCTGCTACAGAAAAGTAAAGAGATCCTTGAATCATAGAGGAGGGAAGGTGTTTGCATATATTAATAAATCGGGATGGGCTAATGCAGCTATGTCAGGCAACGCGTACAGATGTTTGTCTTACATTTTATATTCAGCAAAAACATAGGTTTTCCTAGCATCACACCCCACCTTCTGACTTCTCAGTTTGATCTAGGAAAGGGGTCTGCAAACTGCAGCCTGCAAACTAAATCCATCCACTGCCTGTCTTTGTAAATAAAGTTGTTTGGAACAGAATCACACATAATTCATTTCTGTCCATTGCTGCATTCGAGCCACAAAGAAAGAGGGGAGCAGTTGTGACAGAGACCACACAGTCCACAAAGCCTAAAATTTATGCTCTGGCCCTTTATGGGAAAAGGTTTGTGACCCCTAAACTAGGAAAAGGAATCTTACTGATTTTATTTAATTCATCTTTAAGAAAGCATGTGTGTTGAAAATCATTTTTACTGGGAGAACTGGGATGAGGATTACAATGAGCCTAGAATAGAAATCAGACCCTGCTGGCCTTTCAGGAAGGCTTTCTAATGTTTAACCTCTGCTATGTCTACCCCCAAAAGTTTCTTGAATAGATTGGTTAATTAATAGCAATGATCTGATACAATTTATTCATAGTTTGAATGGCTTTTAACTTGGAAAAGCTGCCTCTCCACTGACTTTTGATTTCCACTTATGGACTAGGAAAGCAATTATTTTATTTTATTTTTATTGCATTACATTTTGATCAGACACATTACTCAGGAAAGGTGGAATTAGGAATAAGTGATAGTAAAATGTTAGAGCATACCCACCCCATAAAATTGTCTCATTGCCTATATCTCTCCCCTTTTGGTCCTCCGTTCTGATAGTTTACCTTCAGTTGTTACGACCCTTTAGAACGTGTTGGCAGCTTCAGTGGTGGTTGACCGTGAGGACTGGCATGCACCACACAGCACTATGTGGCTGGGAGGATGCCAACCATTTATGACCATTGCCTCCCACATTCTACTCTTAGAACATGAGTTACATGCACCCATTTGAGTATGGTTACGGTAAAGCAATGAGACTAGATGGGTGGATAAAGAAATATAGGTGATTAGATGGTGAGATAGATAGGGAGATGATAGATAGATAGATAGATAGATAGATAGATAGATAGATAGATAGATAGAGACACAGGACTAGGAGTTAAAAGACCCAGATTCAAGTTTTGCCTCTACACTTAACTCAGCCAAGTCAGCTAGCATCCTAAAAATAGTAATGTATTATGAGAATGTCATAAAATATCTTAAAGAGGAAATGTGATAATATGTCTGAAAGTACATTTAAGTGAAAAGTTTATAATTATAAACTTATTGTGACAGGTCTAAAAATTACTTTTTACATAAAGTTCATAGCATTTTCCCCAGCTCAAGAAAGAGAATCCTCTGCAGAAAAAGGGGAACCCTCTTACACTGCTGGTGGGAATGCAAGCTGGTGCTGCCACTCTGGAAAACAGTGTGGAGGTTCCTCAAGAAGTTAAAAATAGAGCTACCCTACGACCCAGCAATTGCACTACTAGGGATTTACCCCAAAAATACAAAACTAGTGATCTGAAGGGGCACCTGTACCCCAATGTTCATAGTAGCAATATCCACAAGAGTCAAACTATGGAAAGAGCCCAGATCTCCATCGACAGATGAATGGATAAAGAAGTTGTGGTGTTTATATACAATGGAAATTACTCAGCTATCAGAAAGAATGAAATCTTGCCATTTGCAGTGATGTCGATGGAAGCAGAGGGTATTAGGCTAAGTGAAATAAGTCAGAGAAAGACAAATACCATAGGATTTCACTCATATGTGGAACTTAAGAAACAAAACAGATGAACATAGGGGAAGGGAAGGAAAAAATAAAATAAGATAAAAACAGAGAGGGAGGCAAACCATAAGAGACTCTTAACTATAGGAAACAAACTAAAGGTTGCTGGAGGGGAGGTGGGTAGGGGGAAGGGGTAAATGTGTGATGGGCGTTAGGGAGGGCACTTGTGATGAGCACTGGGTGTTATATGCAACTGATGAATCACTAAATTCTATCCCTGAAACTATTAATACACTATATGTCAACTAAATTGAATTTAAATTTAAAAAATTAAGAGAAAGGAAAAGGAAAGGAAAGAAAGAGAATCCTCCTGGCATTGCCCAGGCCAACCCTGTCCCTCCTCCCTGCTTGCAAACAGGATGGAGCTCATGTAGCCAGAGCTAGGACAGGTCAATGTGCGTTGTAAAGGAATGGTGGGGGAGCCAGAGAAAGGTGGGTAGGATGCTGGGTTTGGGGGTTGAAGTAAGTCTGGGAGCTGCAGAGCAGCTTCTAGGGTGTGATAAAACCAGAAAGGAGAGAAATTAGGGTTTTAGTAAGTGCTGCTCAGGACCGTGCATTTGACTATCCATCCTAGTCTGGAAAATGTAACAAATATTTGCTATTTCAAAATTCAGGGGTTTCTGAAATTTATTTCTTTTTTTTTTTAAATATTTTATTTATTTACTTGAGAGAGAGAATGAGAGAGAGAGAGCACATGAGAGGGGGGAGGGTCAGAGGGAGAAGCAGGTTCCCTGCTGAGCAGGGAGCCCGATGCGGCACTCGATCCCGGGACTCCAGGATCATGACCTGAGCCGAAGGCAGTCGCTCAACCAACTGAGCCACCCAGGCGCCCCGTGAAATTTATTTCTTTTAGCCGGAAAAGGCCAATGGGGATTAAATTTCATAGTTCATCCAGGCTTTTTTTTTTTTAGATTTATTTATTTATTTTAGAGAAAGAGAGAGAGTGAGCAGGGAGATGGGCAGAGGGAGAAAAATCCTCAAGCGGACTCCCAGCTAAGCACAGAGCCCAATGTGGGGCTTGATCCTAGGACCCAAGATCATGACCTGAGCCGAAATCAAAAGTCAAATGCTTAACCAACTGAGCCACCCAGGTGCCCCAGTTCATCTATGCTTTTAAGGGTATATTATGCATTATCATTCTGAGTCCCTGCTTTGTTATATAGTATCACTCTTAGGTAGGCCTAAATTTATGCAAGTGGTGGCTCTAGGTGTTTTTAAGTTATATACTGAAGATTGTCTCATTTAAAAAGCCCTCCTCCAATTCTTAATCTCAGGAAACAAACTGAGGGTTGCTGGAGTGGTGGGGGTGGGAGGGATGGGGTGGCTGGATGATGGGCATTGGGGAGGGTATGTGCTATGGTGAGCGCTGTGAATTGTGTAAGACTGATGAATCACAGACCTGTACCTCTGAAACAAATAATACATTATATGTTAAAAAAGGAAGAAGAAGATAGCAGGAAAGGAAGAATGAAGGAGGGGAAATCGGAGGGGGAGACGAACCATGAGAGACTATGGACTCTGAGAAACAAACTGAGGGTTCTAGAGGGGAGGGGGTGGGGGATGGGTTAGCCTGGTGATGGGTATTAAAGAGGGCACGTTCTGCATGGAGCACTGGGTGTTATACGCAAACAATGAATCATGGAACCCTACATCAAAAACTAATGATGTATGATGACTAACGTAACATAATAAAATAAAATTAAATAAATAAATAAATAAATAGCCCTCCTCCAAAATCAGTTAGAAATGTCAATCATTTGTATTTGTCAGACAATGGCAGAGTACCATTTCCAGTGAGTCACAGTTAAAATATTAGTTCAGAGATTTTTAAATTCTCAGGCTATGGGTTTATGGGGGTGTGATGAGAGCATAGTTTGAAACAAAACA